GGGAGACCTGCTTCTCCCTCTCCCACTCCCCCTGCTGGTATTCCCTCTCTTGCTGTCTCTTTCTCTAATAAAAAATAAATAAATAAATAATAAATAAATAAATAAATACATACATACATACATACATGCCCCCAAGACGACCTGCCATAGGAGCTAGAGAAGAGCTGCCTAAGGACCACACTCACTCTCACCTAAACACATGCAGACTGACTAGGGGAAGGTTTGTGATTTGGAAGCTGAATTCTGGATATTTCTGCAAGTTTTTATGGGGGCTATTTGTGAAGGTTCAGATGGTGCGGGATACCTGAGGATGAGCTCTGAAGTTGTTCATACATTTGTATGTATGTGTCATTTAGCGGATGGATTAATTGTAATCTCTACACCCAATGTGGGGCTTGAACACATGACCATGAGGTTAAGAATCATGTGCTCTTCTGACTGAGCCAGCTAGGTGCCCCAAGCTCTGCAGTTTTTATCAAAGTGCAGCTACCTTGCACCCACAAGTATCCTGACGTCTGGCTATCATATCCCACACAATGTGGCTAATCTACGGTGGCCTCAAGAATCAGCTCTGTGGGAGGGGTGGGGAGTGGGATCCTTTGGTTACCAATGACTTCACCTCATTTTTTTTGAAGTCTTTTTTAGACTAACAGCTGTCATCTGTGGAACATGCTAGGTTGTCATAATAAGAGATTCATTCTCCCTCGTAAAAAGAGGGAGGTTGAAGTGGGTAGGTGGGGAAAACGTCTGATCACAGATGGCCCCTCATTTAGCTGTGTCTTTGGATAGGGCAACCTTTTTAGTTACTAGATGAATGTGATGGGACACTTTCGAAGAAAAAGCTGTGGCATCCTGCATGTACCCTGGATTGAGAGAATAGTTGTTCATATCTTTGCTGCTTCAGGCTGAGAAAAGGCAAGATGGGACAACCCAGTTTGGTATAGTAAAACTTTTTATACAGGCCTCCAGGGGCGCCTGGGCAGCTCAGATAGTTAAGCGTCTGCCTTTGGCTCACAAAGGTCGTGATCCCAGGATCCTGGGATTGAGGCCCGAGTCAGGCTCCCTGCTCAGTGGGGAGCCTGCTTTCCCTCTCCCTCTGCCCTTCCCCCCACCCGGCTTGTGCCCTCTCTCACTCACTCTCGCTCTATCTCAAATAAATAAATAAAATCTTAAAAACAAAACAAACTAAAGGCCTCCAGACAGAGGTCTTTAAATGGTATTTTCCTGGATGGGGAGTGGAAGGGAAAGCAGGGAAGGTGAGGGGAACATTTTTAGATTTTCAGGGCTACTGATGAGGAATAATTGTGATGTACATGAGAGTACCTAGGACATTCAGCCAGGGTAATTTTAACAACTATTCCTTAATCATCACCTAGCACATAGAGAGTTAAAAACAACAAAATCACAAATATTCTCATTATCTACGAGTTAGGCAGTATTTCCTCAACATGCCAGCTACTGAATCCTTGACATATTTTATCATTTACTCTTCATAATCACCTGGGTCTTTCTAATTCCACAATCTAGCACCATCTTCCTGTAAAGTAAAATACAAAAAGCCTTCCCTGTCATCTTAGGTGAGACTCTCCCCCTTACCATTGCTGAGAGAATCGGCGCTCCCAGGACTGTGCTGCCTGGAGACCAACTCGCTCCCTGTCTTCCTCATCTCTGTGTTTTCATTACATCGTCTTTTCCAGTAGTTGAGTTCTTCACGATCAGATTCCTGACAGCGCCGCAGAACTGCCATGGAGCGCCTTGTCTTCTCTACCATTTCCATAATGCAATTCAGAGCCTAAGCCACAGAGGAAATCAGGCAGACGTAAGATTAGAACTTTCAAATAACCAATACTGAAAAATTAAGGATGGGTAAGCTATAAAGAATGAAGGCTTAAGTTATCTCAGCTTTAGCAATATCAAGCCGACATATGAAAGCCTTGCTTAACAGCTTCTTTGTACTTATTTATTTAATTTGGGGAGGGGAGAGGAGAGAATCCTAAGTAGGTTCCATGACCAGCATAGCCCCAACCCGGGGCTCGATATCACAACCCTGAGATGATGAGCAGAGCCAAAATCAAAATCAAGAGTGGAACGTTTAACTGACTGAGCCACCCAGGCACCTCTTAACAGCTTCTTTTTAAATATATATATGCAAATTTTTTTTCTTTTTAATTTCAAAATAACACTTTTTGGATTCTTCCAGGTTCAAGCAGCCAGAGTCTCTCACCATAATATAGTCCTTTAAACACAATGGTGAAACCACCCTCTCATTTATTTTTGGAGAAGCACCATTTATTTATTTATTTATTTATTTATTTTTAAAAAGATTTTATTTATTTATTTTTAGAAGATTTTATTTATTTATTTGACAGAGAGATAGAGAGAGAGCACAAGTATGCAGAGTGGCAGGCAGAGGGAGAGGGAGAAGCAGGCTCTCCACTGAGCAGGGAGCCGGACGTGGGGCTCAATCCCAGGACCCCAGGATCGTGACCTGAGCCAAAGGCAGACACTTAACCGACTGCGCCACCCAGGCGCCCCGGAGAAGCACCACTTATTCAGCGTTTCCTATATACTAGATCCTGTGATAAGCACCTTACATATTATAACCACCCTGTTGTGAATGTAAGTAATACAGTATTCTTTTTTTTAAGATATAAAAATTAAGGCTACAGACTGTAAAAACAACTTGCCCATTGCACAAAGGTAGGAAGTGGCAAAGCTGGGACCTGAACTGACAAACCTGAATTTAACCATTATACTTTCGGATTTCATTTTGTTATATCCTGAAGTGACTACCCGACTGCAAAGATGTGAGAGTTACTCTTAGCTCTCTAGCTAGGGGAGTAGCAGATAAATCAAGTTTATTTTATTTTATCATTATTATTTTTTTTTTTTTTAAAGATTTTATTTATTTGAGAGAGAGAATGAGATAGAGAGAGAGAGAGAGCATGAGAGGGGCAGGGTAAGAGGGAGAAGCAGACTCCCCGCTGAGCAGGGAGCCCGATGCGGGACTCGATCCCGGGACTCCAGGATCATGACCTGAGCCGAAGGCAGTCGCTTAACCAACTGAGCCACCCAGGCGCCCCTATCATTATTATTTTTTAAGTAAGCTCTACACCCAACATGGGACTTGAAGGGCTTGAACTCACAACCCTGAAATCAAGAGTCACATGCTCTACTGATTGAGCAAGCCAGGTGCACTGATAAATTAAGTTTTTATTGCAAAGACACCGGGGCTCTGGTGAAGTTCACTTCAGGCATATATACTCCATTATTATTGGTAATATTAAGAATTAAATGTAATAGGAAAATTATACATCGTAAGATTCTTACATGATCAAGATGTTTCCATTCATCAGCCCATTCCCTTTCTGTCAAACGGTGGTCTACCAACTCATCTTGATAGCCTCCATTTAGACCTATTAGAAATTAGAGATTAAACTTGACGATAGAGGGAAGAATACAATAAACAAAATTCTAGCAAGTAAATACACACACATCCATACCAAATATGAGCACACTACTAGGGCAATGATTCACAATGGAGTGTGGGACCCACAAAATGACATGAAACAACAACAAAAAAAATCACCATTTAGAATATATAAAAAACTCTGACAAATCACTTATGAAAGACAAACAGCCCAAAAGAAAAACAGGCAAAAGAAATAAAGAGGTATGCCAGACAGAAAAGCACAGATGGCCCATAAACACATGAAGACATTCAAACTTGTAAGCAGTCACAATGCAAATAAAATATTCACTAAGATAGCATTTCATATCCATACACTGGAAAAAATTAAATTGTCAGGTAATACTAAACGTTGGCAAGTATTTGGCATAATGCAAATAAATATTTCACCACCACAAATAGAACGGGTACAGTACAAACACTTGGAAACAACTTAGTATTACCAAAATATATGTATACATGTCTTTAAGTAAGCTCTATGCTCAACATAAGGCTTGAATTCACAACCCTGAGGATTAAGAGTTGCATGCTCAGGGGCACCTGGGTGGCTCAGTCCTTAAGCGTCTGCCTTCGGCTCAGGTCATGGTCCCAGGGTCCTGGGATCGAGCCCCGCATTGGGCTCCCTGCTCAGCGGGAAGCCTGCTTCTCCCTCTCCCACTCCCCTTGCTTGTGTTCCTTCTCTCGCTGTCTCTCCGTCAAATAAATAAATAAAATCTTAAAAAAAAAAGAGTTGCATGCTCTTCTCACTGAGCCAGCCAGGGGCCTCCCACAAAATATTTTTTGTATGGCATTAATTTATAATGAGATTTGCAAGAATGCAATGACTGTGTGAATGAAGGGTATACTGAATTAAGAGCTGTCCGCTATTTTGAAAAATCCTGTCACATATGACACCCCTGCTCAAAGTACTGAAATCATTACTATAACACAGCTGTTATCAGTCTGAATTTACAAGTGCTGTATTGAGAGTGATCCTGTATCTGTGTAAGCATCTGCTTATTTTATTATATCTTCTTCCGAAGTCATGCCTGAGCGCTAACATATTCTAATACTTTCTTATATATTATGCTTTAGAATATTGATCCTACAACTACGGGTCTAAGACAGGCTATAGTATCCCTAACTTTCACTTAGGAGAGCAAAGGGGAGGGGCTGCAATGTATTTGTTTAAAAAGGGGAGGGAATAAGTGGTTTGGTAAGAATTGAGAACTAGGGCACATGCTTTCAAGAAGACTGGGGAAAATTAAGGAATCTATCAACAGCCCAGAAGATAAATGGTTAAACCTAAAATAAACCATGTAAGAAGAGGACTGAAGATCTTTTAAATAGAATGCTTCAAGATAAAAAAAAGTTTTTCTGGAATTGTTAGGAATGAAAGGAAAACCTGACCACAATGCAGTTACAGCTAGATTCTGGCACACTTCTTTCTCAAAAAAGTAATGGATCAAACAAGTTAAAAAGTAAGTATGAATACAGAAAAAATCAACAGCAACCCTTGTTTTTAACATAAAAAGAGGGACATGGGAGAAAAGGGATGGGACTACACAAAACAACGGCCAAGGGAGGTGCCACAGCAAATCAGCCATGTAGGCTAGCTTTGGGCATCAGATAGCTGGGGTCTGAATCTTGTCTCTGCCACTCTAGCTACGTGATTCTGGCCACAGTTCCTTCACCTCTCGTCTATCAAAAGCGGGTATCAACTGCATGGGACCACTGTGAGGACTGAATGAGACAAGGTACATATGATGTGCATGTACCGCAATCTAAGCAGTACCTGCAAATGCTGGTAGCGGAGACTGTTGTCATGGCCCTCACCATTCAGCTACCACCGCGTGAAGCCAAGCCCTACTGCGGTCCATGCCTCTGAAAAGTACCAGTGAGCTGAGCCTAAGTCAGAATGAGGACAAGCAATGTGCTGCAATTTTTTACTCCCTGGGGTACCCCGCAAATGGAAATGTAGGGAAAACTCTGGAAGTTAGCAGCCCTTTGGTTCTCTGCTCTGACACATGATCAGCAGTTACTCCAAAGAAACCTTCTACAGTAAACTTGTATGAGAATATGACAATAAGCTTTGTTCAAAACTGTTCTTGGGTAATGTTTGTTAGGGGCTTTTTTGCTTTTTCCTGAATTTAATGGTTACTAAGGATGCACACGCCAGGCATTCTACATGTAACAATGACCCAGTTCAAGTGGTAGTATCTCCATTTTAGAAACGAATAACCTGAGGCTCAGAGGGCATAAACAAACAACTTGCATAAGATCACACAGCTAGTTAGTATGCAGGGCCAAGATTTAAATTCAGGTATGTCTCACCTCCTGACCTAAACATCCATGCACTTTCACTTTTTTTTAAAGATTTTTTTTTTATTTTACAGAGAGAGAGACAGTGAGAGAGGGAACATAAGCAGGGGGAGTGGGAGAGGGAGAAGCAGTATCTCCGCTGAGCAGGGAGCCCGATGCGGGGCTTGACCCCAGGACCTGGGATCATGACCTGAGCCAAAGGCAGACGCTTAACGACTGAGCCACCCAGGAACCCCTGTACTTTCACTTTAAAGACACATATTTCATATCTTTTTAAATTTTAAGAACACTTTACTCTGAAATAAATCCAGATTTACAGAAACAATGCAAAAATAGTATAAAGAATTCTCATCTATCCTTCATCCAGATCTCCAAAATATTAGTATTTTAGCTCATTTGTTTTAACATTCTCTAGTTTTCTGCACCATGAGAATAAATGATACCTCCTTATTCTTTTTTTTTTTTTACAATTTTATTCATTATTTGACAGAGAGAGAGAGAGAGAGAGAGCGCGCGCGAGCACAAGGGGGGGGAGGGGCAGAGGGAGAAGCAGACTCCCCGTTGAGCAGGGAACCAGATGTGGGGACTCGATCCCAGGACTCTGGAATCATGACCTGAACCAAAGGCAGCTGCTTACCCAACTGAGCCACC